TTTTAAACAAAGAATTATGAAGGGAAATAATCAGAAATTACGCAAAAAATGATCAAATTTGGCTAAATCATGCGTGGTGGATAAAACCACGGGGACAGACAAACAAGTTGGGTTTTTTTTAGGCCGATCGTCCGATCCCACCCGTAGTGGGCATGCTGTATTATACTACATGTACTTATAATAGTCCTTCTCCTCCCCTCCCTCCCCAATCCTCAACACTTGACCCACCCTCCAACAAGCAGATTATTGTAAGGTCCTTGCCCTCGGCCATATCCAGGGGACATAATATTAGGTGTTTTGAGAGTTAATCTGATTAAAACAGCGCAGGTTAGATTAAACACCACCAGTATCGGTTGCAATTGACTTAAGGGGTGGTGCAGCACCTAAAATGGTGGGTTTTTTTTTTTTGGAGGGGGGGGCGGTGAAATTATGAAAACTAGGGTTATCACTTATTACATTTTCTGGATATTTCTTGAACAATGTCCAAAAACGTATGTAAGCATTTCTGTATCCAAAAGTGGTGCTGAAGAGATTTTAGAGCAGAAGGTGGAAACTTTTTAAAAGAAAATAATTGCTACTTTTTGTCTCAAAAAGCATGTTTTGCACCGCTTAAATGCTTCAATTGTAATAGTCTATTTTTGCTCTGTTAATATTATCAAACAGTTGCCATGTTTAAGTTTGAAATGTGGTTTGAAGGTTTTTACTTGAAAGAGGAGACGAGACAGTATTTTGGCCTTTTCTGACCATTGTTGGTGGTTTTCTCAAAATGCTATTTTCTGCTCTATTTCTGGTATTCAGTTTTAATGTAACTTTCACAGAATGTTAACGGCACCTAGTTCTAAAAACAGTCTTGAGGAATTTTTCATTGCATATTATGTAGCTTTTGATAAATGGCTTCAGAAAGCTTGATTTTTGCGAGTTTTTTGCTGTTATGCATTAAGTGTGACAAGAAAAGGTGGAGAGATATTATTAAAAGTCGACAGATGACGTGGCGTCAGTGGCCTAGTGGTTAGGCGAACAGACTCGTAATTGTGAGGCTGCGGGTTCAGGGGTTAGAGGCGCGGGCCCGACGTTGTGTCCTTTGGGAAAGGCACTTTACTGTACGTTACACGAATGTTCTTCACTTCACCCAGGTGGGAATGGGTACCCGGCCGGGAGAACATCAGAGCCGCGCACTTTCGGGAAAAAACTATCAAAGCCGAGCACAATCAAAGCCGCGCACTGTTTGACGATATCGATCGTCGATACAATTAGATTGCCGATGACCAAAACAGTACCATCCAACAATTTAAGTACTCTCAACGTTTTACTGGGTTTTAAGGGACCAGATATCAGGTGTAAAATCATATCTACAGGACAGGGGCAATCTTTAAAGTGTTGGGGCAGCATTTTCTTGCTCATTCGGGATAAAAATTGAAGTTGTGAGACTTGTCTATCTGCGTTCATTTTCTTGTAACACATTTTCCCCTTTTTCTTACGGAAATGCCTTTGTGTTTGGTTTGTGTTTTTAATTTCAGCTTAGAAATGGTCTGGAAGTCGCTTAACGTCAGCCAAAAGACAAATATATATTTTGGATGGGGGCTGTACAGAGTAATTTTGTCAAGGGGACTGTAACTGTTGGATGGAATGGGCAATCTAATTGCATTAGTATCGTCAAAAAAGTGTGCGGCTCTGATAGTGTGGGCTTTGATAGTTTTTTCTCGTAAGAGCGCGGCTCTGATAATTTCCCACCTGGCCATAGACAACGAAAGATCTTGTACGTAAGTTAGTGTTTTACCGCATGTAAATGGCCGCTTGCAGTGTATGCCTCCTAAAAAGTTGAGGTTGTTTCAGAATGCTCTCAGGTCCGCTGGGGTAATATTGTGAAGCGCATAACGCTTGTTGTTTAGCGTGGATTTGTGCTATATGCTGTCTCTCTCTCTCTCTCTCTCTCTCTCTCTCTCTCTCTCTCTCTCTCTCTCTCTCTCTCTCTCTCCT